AAACTGAAACTTTAACGGAACGTTCCGTGTCCAAGTACCGCCTAGACAATTAACTTCCTGGATTTTTAGGACCAGTATGTCACAGATCTTAGCTACTAGGTTCCCGAGCGATCTCATTCCAGCACGAAATACTGCAAAAAAGGAACATTCGCACGGGCCCGCCCGCTGCGCGTCGCCAGTGGTTTATTCATCCATCTAAAAGTCCATGAAACACTGACTTACAGTGTATTAGAACTGCGCGTCTTTGTAAATTAGATCTCATGCACAGTTTGATTTGAAGCAAACGGCTAAATTCAGGTTGCAACGGTGAATGATATTGCTCTTCCACGAAGCCTTTGCAGGAAACGCAAATATTTTATGAACTTTTTTAATTTGCCGCTGGCTTTATTCATTTCCGCTGCCAGACAAGTGGTATTTACCGAAAGTAGCGAGCAAGCTAGCGAATGGCTTCCCATCCCTGATGATGTTAACGTACTCAGTTCGGAACAGTTAACGCCACTGGACGCCAAAGAAACCACATTTGAAGCAAGCGAAGGGAAATACTCAGGTACGGGCAGTGTGCTTCATGGAGATCTTGGATTCAACACCTAGAGTACGTGTGCTCCACTTTCTCAGCCAATGACAATGGCATAGTCAACTTTCGACAAAAGGTGAAGAGCATTTAAAACCTCTTGGGACAGCCAAATGGCACAGCTTGCCTAAAGTGGTAACTGCTGGCCCATTTTCACGTCGGCATTTGTTGTCTCGCTTATCAGTAAGTTTGACGTTTTTAAAGCATTTTTAACTGTTTTATCAAAATTGCAAATGGGGTGAGCTAGACATCAGTACAAGTAAAGGATGGCCCTGTCTCCTTTTCTTGATGCAAAGTCGTTTCGGACGAACTTGCGGATACAAATGAAGTTTTTAAAGGCTGTTTGAAGGGCGGAAACGCAAAATTTATGTCGGATCACTGAAGCATTTCAAAAGTAAGTTTTTATTAGAAGTTTATTTTTTATGGTTTTTGCATATACGCCAATGCAAAACTCATATTGGCAAGAGGCTGTCTGTGTATATGTGTGTTCGCACTTTTTGTCATCCCATGTTCAACTCAAAAACCAAAAAATCTAAAAGGCTGAAACTTCGAAAGTACGTGTCTACACCATATGCGACCCTCTCGTTTTTATGCGTTTTCGCTATGCAGTGCTATAGCGCTGCAACAGTGAGCAAAAACGCATCCTGTCGAGAGATCGTCTGTGTGTGTGTTTGTGTGTGTGTGTGTGTGTTCGGAAGCGGGTGAACTTTATCGCCCACTTTCAACTCAGCAACCTGGAAAGCTGGAAGGCTGAAATTTTAGAGACATGTTCCCACTCTGTGTGTCACCCTCCCGTTTCAACTTCGCGCATACGCACCGAGACTTCGCGTATGAGCACCCGAAAAAAGCATGTAAATTTCATTGGCGGGAAACGATTTCGCGAATCAGATAAGGTAGAAAGCTGAAACTTTGCAGGGATATTCTCTGTGCATGTGCGAGCTAAAGGTTTCAAATCCAGCTATC